ATCTGCTGATTCGTCAATCTGTAGTATCTGCTGCTGACCCGCTCCAGTGCCTAGTGTCGGAGAGAAAAGACTCACGGAAGGGAACACAACAGCTGTATTCCGAACAAGCGAGTGAGTGAGAGAGCGTGAGTGCGAGAGCAAAAGTTACAACGGCCTCACGCTATTTAAAGGGGACTTTCTGACATTGATCCAGGCTGTCCGATAGGCGTTAGTGATCACCCATCAACATCGATCATGCCTCTGTGAAAAGCCTGAACGGTGATCACATTCAGTTGTGCTTCTGTAGCGCGCAAGAACACTCATCAGGTTTTGCTGAACTGATTGAATGACTGACTGGCCTGGATTCTTGCCGGCTTTCCAGGTGAGTTTTTGGTGGAGCGGTAGGTTCCGGGAGTTCTGAAGTTGCTTTCAGGAATGTGACCTTCCTGATAATCACCTTAGTCTTCTGCAGTTTCCGATGTCCCTCAACTATTTTGCAATTCTTTCCGGTGGCGCATACTTCCTTTGACTTTGATAAACAGAACGGGCAAGGGGTCGACACACACGAGTATGTTCCCCATGGACTCCATATCCATCCATTATTATTCTGGCTTTTTGGTGCGCTGCCCTATTCTTTTCAAGTAACTGTCTGTTAAATGTAGTCCAGCTCAATTTAGTTCTGAGATTAGTGGAAAGTTATTTAAGCCGTGCTTGTTACAGAGGCAGGCTGTCCTTTACTATCAACAGTGTTTTCACCAAAGTAGGTTGTCGTTGTTATTTTAAGTTGTGGAGTGATTCCACTACGTCTGATGTGTTATACATTTCGGGATTTTAGTCACAGAGGTTCCTCCATGTACCAGCATAAGACGTTCTTGCCAAAGTGCCTTATTCTAAGTGACTTTAAACACATGGGTGTAAATTTCTCATCTAGCTCTCTATTATTCTGGAATAGAAAGCCACAACTTAGTTGAATGCTTAGAATAAAAGGCATGATCATAAGTCTCCTGCGTGGTCTCCGAGTCTCTTTGATGTAACTGATCCTCTGGATCACCGTTCACCAAAAGGTGTCCACTGTTTTCTATATCGGATATTACGATCCCTATCCAGCACTCTCGGTCCCTCTTGAGGACCAAAGCCAAGAAACGGCCAGGAAATTGTGTGTTCCAAACTTTTACTCTGACGCTTGATTGTTCAAACCTGCAGCCTAACACTAGTAGTCTATCTGACGCTGGAATAAATTGGTATCTTTAATTTTATCCAAAATATGTTACGAAAAATAACATATTGGGTGATAATTACTGTTCATGCGCCATACGTCAGACATGAAGAGCTGTTTATAGTAAAATCATCGCAACTCCAATTTCTCGAATCCCCTTGGAGAGTGTTACTCTTCTGATCCTCGGAGAGTTCTTCCTGTGCAATTCACTAGTTGAGCTAGTAGCAATTCACTTCCTAACATTCATCTCTATTTGACCTATTTTTTCCCGACACGAAGAGACTGGACCTTACCGTGAGTTCTTCCCAATTCACTAGTTGAGCTAGTAGCAATTCACTTCCTAACATTCATCTCTATTTGACCTATTTTTTCCCGACACGAAGAGAGAGACCCTTACCGTGGTGT